TCATGATATTGCTTCTGCTCAGTCAGGTCATGATATTGCTTCTGCTCAGTCAGGTCATGATATTGCTTCTGCTCAGTCAGGTCATGATATTGCTTCTGCTCAGTCAGATCATGATATTGCTTCTGCTCAATCAGATCATAATTTAACTGCAGTTAGTAGTTGGGATGACTATGGAGTAACTATCGTAACGGAAGATATGAACAGAAAATATAGCGATTGTGAAGATATGGATATATCTAAATCCAATGCCAATAATAGTTATAATAATATCTTACAAGATTCCTTGGGAAATGAAATAATAAATGATGATAATGCAAGTTCAGGTTATCAAAGCAATAATGATCATCGTAGCAGCCGACCCTATAAAAATGATGTGTATGCAAAAAGAATTGGTGATCGTTTAAGAAGTGCAAAGCCTAAGGTTCCACCTAAATCAACTTACATTCCTCCTGAGTTTGAGGAAAATTTTAGTTCAACTATAGAAGCTGGATCTAACTTTGAGAAATACGATAAAATAGAAGTTATAGCAAATGGAATCGATGTACCCCAAAAAATCTCTACGTTTCAAAGTTCTGGTCTGCGTGAAATTATTTTAAATAATCTGAAAAACTGCAATTACACTACACCAACGCCAATACAAAAATATGCTCTACCAATTATTATGAATGATAGAGATATGATAGCCAGTGCTCAGACTGGTTCTGGCAAAACTGTAAGTGTAAAATCCTGTTTATTTTTTTTATTATTTATAATATAAAATTTATTTTTATATTTCAGGCAGCTTATATTTTACCAATTTTAAATAAATTACTTGATGAACCTTCCAAATTAATTGTTGATGGTAAACATTGTGAACCACAAGTTCTCATTATGTCTCCTACAAGAGAACTTGCTATTCAGATATGTGAACTTGCAACTCGGTTGAGCCGAGATACTGGAATTAAATGTGAACTTCTTTATGGTGGTACTGCTACATATTATCAAAGAGAAAAAGTTTTGGTAAGATATATCGTAATCTTAATTTAAAATAAAATACATTTATTCAATATTATCTTGGTTTTAGAGAGGTGTTCATATTTTGGTTGCAACTCCTGGTCGTTTGATTGATTTTGTGAATCGTAGATTGATTACTTTCTTTTCGATACGATACTTTATACTAGATGAAGCTGATAGATTGTTAGATATGGGTTTTCAAGGTGATATTGAACAAATACTATGTCATCATACTATGGTTTTTACCGTAAGTACTGATATTTTTCCATATAATGGGTACCATCATTATTATACATACATATATAATATATATGTAATATCTACTATAATTGATATTAGTACTATAACTTGATAATTTAAATTTTCTTAAATAAGTAAGAATATTTTTTCATGTACTAAATGTTTATTTTAGGCCGAAAGAACAACTTTAATGTTTTCAGCAACTTTACCTGAGAATGTTCAATATATAGCAAAGGCATTTTTGAAACCAGATTACATATCAGTAGCAGTAGGAGATATTGGTGGTGCTTGCAAAGATGTTACACAGACTATTTTAGAAGTTAAAAAATTTGATAAAAGAAATGCATTATTATCTATTCTAAAAGAAACTGGTTAGTCAAAATTACTAACCATATCAGCTCTTTTTAAATCAATGATATTTTTAATAAGTGCTTAATATCTTATATGTAAATCTTTTATTTGATTTCATCCGAGAAGTATATTTTTAAATAGTTTAATTTTAATAAATGAATCATATTTATATATTAGTTCATTATTTTTGTTACAGACGATTGCCAAGGCACAATAGTGTTTGTAGAAGAGAAAAGACAAGCCGACTTTCTTGCAGCAATACTAAGTGAATATGATTATCCAACAACAAGTATACATGGAGATCGCCTACAACCACAACGAGAAATTGCCTTGAGAGATTTTAAACAAAAAAGAATGAAAATCTTAGTGGCTACCTCAGTTGCTTCTAGAGGACTAGGTATACTTTCAATGTATTTTATTATATAACCTCAATGAAATAATACTTAATCTACAATTGTTTTATAGAATTTTAAATTTACAATATTGTATCAATACTAGTGTAACTTTATATAGCATAATTATGATCATAACCTATGAGATAATTTTATTATTATTAACCGAGAAATTTATATGTGCATACTTAATAATTATAAAAAAAAAAATGTGTAATAAATAAACATGTAGTTTCGCATAGTATTTCATCGTAAATATAGATATATGCAAATTAAATATCTAAAGAAATTTATATTTCAATATATATATAGATATTTTTTTATTTTTGAAGAAATTATATTACTTGAGAACATAATTTTCTTGATAACTAGAACTATACTTATAATTAACAGTATTGAAAACTTCACATCTATAAATATTAACAAAGAATTATAATGATAACATGAGCTATTGTAAATATATTTAATCAATGAATATAATCTAACATATTCACTTAACTGATTAGATCATTATGAACCAATATACTTACATAATATATTTTATTATTTTTCATTTTATTTACCTTACAATTATATGGTTAATGAATATCAATTTAATTAAAAATATTTTGAAGTAAATTTAACAATTAGGGTTTTTTAAAAATATATTTAACTTGGATTATCCTCTATAATATATTAAGAGTACATACTTTGTACGTCTAATTATATCAATATTTTAAATTATTTTTCATATAGAAATTGTTTATGTATTTAATTTTATTTAACAAGTTATTATTACTTATATATATATTCAAAAATTTTAATTAGACATAACGGGTGTGAAAATGGTTGTGAATTATGATTTACCAAAAACTATTGAAGAATATGTACATCGAATTGGACGTACTGGAAGATTGGGCAATATTGGTAAAGCTATTTCATTTTATGATCCAGAAAAAGATTATCCAATAGCTTTCGATCTAGCAATTATTCTAAAACGGGTATAGTTATATTTCCATAATTATTTATTTAATAATTTAACATTAAGCTCCACTATATAATACAATTAATAATAATTATTTATGTTATTATTTCAGGCTGATCAAGAGGTTCCTACATTTTTATTCAAATTCCGTTCCAAAAATTATAAACCTATTAAGCCTAATATGTTTTGAAACGTATGTTAATCAGCATTTTATTTATTTTCTAATTAATTATTTCATAGTATCTACCCAAATCTATCAATGATTTGCTATCTATGTTTCTGATGTTAAAACATTCTTAACTCTGCAAAAATATTTAATGCAACTTTATTATATATTAATACATATTTAATATATAATCTATAACATATATAAGACTTATACTAAGACACTTAATTTATAAGAATTGAATTTTGGGTAATTGTAAAACTGTTCTACAACTTATTATTCTATATATATATGAGTATTGAAGTTCACGGGTATTTTTATTACACAGGCTTTAACCCTGTCTTGGATAAAAACATGGGTACCTGTGTAGTTCAATACACATATAATTGTGACCTCTAATATTTACTTAATTTGTGAAATATGTTTTAGGATGTTGAAATGAGATCCGGTCAAGACTTCAAGAAAGATCCAATAAATGCTTAAAAATAATTATAATTACTATAACTTAGATTATGTTTTCTGATCAATTCCTGATTAATTCCTATTTTATTATTAATGAAAGTGAATGAAAAAGGTTTTTTTTGTGTGTTTTTGTCTTCAATTATTGAATTTATATTACTTTATTGATTAATATCAAAATGGTGTTCAAATTTTTATTTATATTTTAGTTTTTGTAATTTCCAAATTATAATTTATAATTTTATCAGATACATTAAAAATTAGGTTGATAAATATACTATACATTTGTATCTTAAATATATCCAAAATAATGTATTTTTAATCAATTATTGATACATTGTATGTATCACTGTTATTTGCAATATAACTATTCACATAATTTGCTATATTTTACACCAATAATATTTTATTGAAAATTTAATTTGAATCATTATGTTTTATATAAGCGTTTTCCCTCACTCTGAGAGTAAAATAACAATTAAGTTATGCTGCTGAAGCATGTATTGATTTACTGCTTTAAATTTCATATTAAATTATTTATTGGATAATTATAAAAATCAATGCTCCTTTTATTTCTATTATATATTTAAACCTAACAATTTCTATTTTATATTATAGATGGTATTTAAATAAGTATGTAATCTGAATATAAATTAATATCCATATTTTTAATATATTTTATATAATGTATTTACTGTTTTATTTTCAAAGTACAATTAAATTTTTACTACATATTTTTTGTGTTAATGTACATGATTTTTTTCATCAAGATATCTATAACCAACTATCATTGTATTATTTTTTTAATTTAATTATGTGTTTCTATTTTTTTATGTGAAATATATAATAATTTACATTAAATGATATTTAAATTAAATTAAATGTCAATTTGTTGCATATTTTCAGGATTTTTACTGCATATCTTTTTGCATACATACCTACTATTGCACCAATCTGTAGGTAAACTACTGGTTATACACCACGTTTGATTTATAGTCTCTGCTTGAGTCTTTGTATTAGTCGTAAATAATCATGTGATTCAACACAGGTACCACCACCCACCATTCATCATCATAGGTGGTGCGATTGCTTTGCATTGTTTTCACAGATATGTATGGCGGGATTATTTCATCAGAAACAGTTAATTAAACTGGCTTTCAAATACACGTATGTTTTCTATTATGATAATGTGTCAATAGTTGTTTATCGAACTTTGAACTACGCTACTAAAAATTAAAAAAAGTCTCACGATTTAAAAATTTGTTGTGCCCCCTCGGCCACCCAAGTCTAAACACTTTTAACAATTATATATAGGAAGGATAGTAATATTTTTAATACGTGTAGAAACTAGGTATTAAGCACGATTGCATAATGGGATATCTAAACGTATTATACACATATCAAATAAATTCGTAAGACCAAGTAGGGGAGAGTGGTAAGTTGACGAATTCATTATAATTCTTAACAAATTATGACATCTTATTTCTCGATACCGAGGTTATTCTGATAAGAATTGAAAATTTTATCAATGTTTCTTCCTCAAATCACGTTTTGATAACATTTTTGGTTCATTTGAAGTAACGATTTCCCAAATACCAAAAGTATAATTACTAAATCGATTATACACTTTAGAAACTTCATGTTATTAACTATATTTTGAATATTTTTATGATAACTATCATAAACTGCATATTATGATGAATAATTAAAACGTTTAGAAAAATTTTTTGGGGCAAGATGACACGGGTATGTTGACGATGTCGTCAACTTACTTCTGTACATTAAATAAATCAAATTAAATCAATTTTATTTTGCCTATATCATATAGGTACTAAACTGTATTTTAATAATGATAATTTTGTAATTGTTAATAAGTTATTAACCTATTCAATTATGACTGATAGAAGTTCCTAAGAATTGGTATTTTTATAGGATTTTTAAGTTTTAAATATATTGTTTACCTAAATACATTTTAATTTGATTTTAGCATATAAATACTAAAATGTGAATTAATTATGTTCATAATCTATTTGTTATTACTTAAATATGAGTTATGACTGATAAAAGTTTCTAAGAATATATTTTTTGTTGTTTTGTTTGAGATCTTACTTTTTTCTAAAAATTCTAAACTGTTTAATTAATTAAGTTGTTAATTTTGAATTTTGAATAAAGATTATTGTATTATTTTGTGAAATTGAACTTTTATTGTGAATACAAATTGTATGAAACATTTTAATACAATTAAATAAATAAATAAATTATTTAAAAATAATTTAATTAAAAATAATATTCAATAATTTACCTTGAGTAATTTATTATAAAATATTTAATATTATCGTAAATTAAATATACACAGTGGCGTACATATAGAGGGGGTCCGGGTTCAAACCCCCTCCCTAAGGCCAAAAAAGAAAAATTGTTTTATTATTGATGACGTGTAATATATTCGTAATTTCATTATCACGCTTTGAACTTAAAATATAGAACTACACAAATATGATAATTAAATAATTATATTGATAGGTGTTTGAAAAATTTTGATAACTATGCTGTTTTTATATTCCAAAAACTATTAATTTAATGTAGGTAATATAAAAGTAAACTGTAAATTGGTAAAAAAGTTGTATAAAATAATATCTATTTATAGCAGTTATTTATCTTATTTATCTGTGCAACGAAAAAAAAAGATAACGATTATTTTTGTTAAAGCTCCCTCCCCCCCCAGAGCAAGATTGAATATACACCACTGAATATATAAAATATTTATTCTAAATTTAATTGATTTATCTATGTAATAATATACACAAGTCAACTTACCCCAAGTAAGGGATAAGATGTCGAATTCAGAATTTATTTTTGTAAAATTTATAAGTGATAAACCCATTAATATAAAAGCTTGAAATTATTACAGGTTATTATTCATATTTAAGATAATGCTTAAACAAAATTTCAAGATTTTCCGACTATGATTTAATAATGTAAATATTAATCAATCCTTAAGTTCGTCAACTTATCATACTCTCCACTATTATTAAAAAAAATAAATAGTTGACACAGACACTGATGTGTTAATCTCTGAAGAAAAAATAAGAAGTTACTTGGACGCTAACTAAAATTATTAAAAAATTGTGTAGATAATTGATTTCTAATCTTCTCAATGTAACACGTCTAATACATTCACTAGCCAAACCAAATTGAACATAATTTCCAAGTTTTCTTTGCGATACATTACATAAACGTAGGTAGATGTCTTTGTGTACAATTGAAATGGTTTTATAATGATTAAAAAAAGTTACACGGGAGATAATATTCTATAATATTAGTAATATTATATAGTTCAATGTACCCTTTAAGAAGTTTTTCTATAAATATTCGTTTTAATAATAAACATAATTTTAAAAATATATTAATTTGCTCAGACAATGTGCCCTACATTTTTACTTTTCATTAAGTATTTAAGTAATTAATTATCATAAACTGTTTAATTTGCAAATTTTAAATAAATAAAAAAAATTTCTCGTCAATTTGATGCATATATTCAGGATTTTTACTGCATATTGTATGGCACCTACATTACGATCATTTTTAGTGCATTAAAATCCATGATCTAATCATAATATTCCTAATTGGTATTTCTGTCGTGTGAACACGTCGTCACAATACCAAGCACAAGAATTATCTATTATCTTATACAGTCACATATTATAATGACTACCTTTAGAAAACTATTAATGATGTAATCTACGTTTTGGAGATATATTAAAACCATAAAATTATCGACTTTATTTTGTTATATGTCTATCATATCTACATCATTTGTTCACGTTCAAACGGAACTGATGGGAATCGCGGTGGTATTGTTCACGCTTCTGCATCCTCGTCTTCATCGCCTTCGCCTTCCTCCTCGACGGTCGCGTCCTGGTACTGCTGATACTCGGACACCAGGTCATTCATATTGGCGTCGGCCTCGGTGAACTCCATCTCGTCCATGCCCTCGCCGGTGTACCAGTGCAAGAACGCCTTGCGCCGGAACATGGACGTGAACTGCTCGGCCACGCGCTTGAACATCTCCTGGATGGCCGTGGTGTTGCCGATGAACGTGGCCGACATCTTCAGGCCGCGTGGTGGTATGTCGCACACGGCCGTCTTGGTGTTGTTCGGTATCCACTCGATGAAGTAACTGGAGTTCTTGGTCTGCACGTTAAGCATCTGCTCGTCCACCTCCTTCATTGACATGCGGCCGCGGAATATGCTGGCCGCGGTCAGGTACCGACCATGGCGCGGGTCGCACGCGGCCATCATGTTCTTCGCGTCAAACATCTGCTGCACCAGCTCTGGGACGGTGAGCGCGCGGTACTGCTGGCTGCCGCGGGACGTGAGCGGCGCAAACCCGGTGATGAAGAAGTGAAGCCGCGGGAACGGAACCATGTTTACGGCCAGCTTCCGCAGGTCCGTGTTCAGTTGCCCGGGGAACCTGAAGCACGTGGTCACGCCGCACATGGCCGCGGACACCAAGTGGTTCAGGTCACCGTACGTGGGCGTAGTGAGTTTCAGCGTCCGGAAGCATATGTCGTATAGCGCCTCGTTGTCGATGCAGAACGTTTCGTCCGTGTTCTCTACTAGCTGGTGCACGGACAACGTAGAGTTGTACGGTTCCACCACGGTGTCCGATACCTATAAGTCGAAAAGGAATTTAAAAAAACCGTTTACTATGTGTATCCTTTTCCGACGATCTTTCTAACGTCGTTACGTACATCGATCAATTAATTAATAATTAATAACACGCGCGCTATTGTGCGTATTGTATCGTTCGAACGATCTCGTTCAACAGAAAATCGTATGAACACTTCCCCCCCACATTAGAATAACCCGCGATTACGTACCTTTGGCGAAGGGACTATGCTGTACGTGGTCATGATGCGGTCTGGGTATTCTTCGCGAATTTTCGATATTATGAGCGTACCCATGCCGGAACCGGTCCCACCGCCCAGCGAGTGGGTCATTTGAAACCCTTGAAGACAATCGCAACTTTCCGCTTCTTTCCTGAAACCCGATACAGTTGATAATATGTTAATGAGAATCAAATTATTATTTTTTTTTTTTTTTTTTTACGAGCGAT